AGCCTAAGAAGTATCGGGAGAGGGAGAAGTAGGCCTAAGATGTATAGGCAGGACATAGCGCAACTCAAGCGTACTAAGGACATGACCCTGGACAAGAGGGTGTGGAAGTCACGAATTAGGGTAGAAGGTTAGTAGGTAGTTGTGTGTCCCTTTTTTTGCTAGTTGCAGTAGTATTAGTCTCATATATTTTTTATTCGTAGATTTTTTTTACTATATGTTGTTTCTTTCAACAACATATAGTCTCGTATTTTCTTATCTGCATTTTTTTTACTATATGTTATTTCTTTCAATCTGTCGAGGGTCTTTCGGAAACAACCTCTCTACCTTCTTGAAGATAGGAGTAAGGTTTTCGTACATACTACCCTCCCCATATCCCACATATGGGATTACACTTGGTCTATTGTTGTTGTTGTTGTTGCTTCTTTCAATTTGGTTATTTATCATCTTATCTTGATATTGTTATTGTTGTTGTTCCTGCTTCTTTGTCATATTCCCTTTGGGGGTCTATTGAAAACAGTCTCTCTATCTTTAAAAATAGGGGTAAGATCTGCATAGTATACACTATTCTTCCCTGACCCTATTTTATAATATTACACTGAATTTATTTTTATTGATCTTGGGCGCAAAGCATGAAAGCAAGAGAGAAGGATAATATTGTGCTTTTCTCTCTTACTAGTGTTAAAACCCATGCAATGCGCAGATAATTTGACAGAATATTAATCATTATAATTATGATCTAATATATTATGTTATTTTAATAAGTCCTAGTTGTTATTTTATTATTTAATATATTATGCAGAAATATAATAAAATCTATACAAATTTAAAGGAAACACATCATATAGTAATTAGAAAGTTTTTGTTTGTTTCTTATTTATTCTTCATTAAATTAGCTAGTTAGTACTATAAATTTACTAATGTGGTTTTTTATAACTTGTCAATTGACTTAATATTTTGATACTACTTAGATATATATTTTCTTACTCTGAAAATATTTTATTTTTTAAACTTATGTTATATATACTATTCAAAATTCCTCAATGGTCTAAATTTATCAATAAGTTTTTTAGGTATTATTTATTTATCTTTTTATTTTTTAATTAATTCAAAATATAAATATCATAAAATTACCTGTATCCCCCTTTTTCGTACATTCTTTTCTTCTGTAATATTTGATCAATTTTCTCATTCGTAGTTTACTGAAAATTAAATAATATAATTTTTTTTTACTAAATTATAGTTTTGAATTCATCAGAAGTATAATGAGATAAGACTTTGATTATTTTTATTAAATAAAATTATCAATATATATATATATATATATATATATATATATATATATATATATATATATATATATATATATATATATTATATATTATATATATATATGCTTATCTTATGTTTTTCTGTATTAGTATTAGAACACGCGTGATGCGCAGATAATTTGGCAGAATATTAATCATTATAATTATGATCTAATATATCATATTATTTTAATAAGTCCTAGTTGTTATTTTGTTATTTAATGTAGTGTGCATAAATAATAATAAAATTTATACAAAATTAAATGATACACATCATATAGTAATTAGAAAGTTTTTGTTTGTTTCTTATTTATTCTTCATTAATTAGCAAGTACTTAGTACTATACATTTACTAATGTGACTTTTTATTAACTTTTCAATTGGCTTAATATTTTGAATTAGCAAGTACTTAGTACTGTACATTTACTAATTTGACTTTTTATTAACTTTTCAATTGGCTTAATATTTTGACACTACTTCTCTTTTAATATAACATAGATATATATTTTCTTACTCTGAAAATATTTTATTTTTTAAACTTATGTTATATACTATTCAAAACTCCTCAATGGTCTAAAATTATCAATAAGTTTTTGAGTATTATTTATTTATCTTTTATTTTTTAATTAATTCAAATTATAAATATCATAAAATTACTTGTATCCCCCTTTTTCGTACATTCTTTTCTTCTGTAATTTTTAATTAGTTTTCTCATTTATAGTTTACTGAAAATTAAATAATCAAAGGTTTATCTCATT